AGTTTGCTGTTTATATATGCATGCTGTATATAAAAAATAAAAATCTCATCTAAAAAAAGAAGGAAATTGATATACCTATATCTATATATTATTATTATATTTTTTTATTTAATTTTTACAATATATATTTGTTAATTGTTTTAAGTATATATATATATATTTATATATATATATATATATATAGTTTAATTTTATAATTACTTCTATTGTCTTTGAAATATGGTCAAAGTGAACAGCTGAATGTACTGACAAGGATTTATGATTAACTAAAATATACTTTAAGGTCATTTCTGGTAAAACTTTTATTGCATGTAGTTAAAAATATTTGTAATGACACATGATGTAATGTAATTGTAATGGTGAAGTTGCAATTTATTGTAATATTAAAATTATTAAAACTTAATGTAATATTAAAATTAACACTAATCTATCGATAGATAGATAGATAGATAGATAGATAGATAGATAGCGTTCAATTGATTAAATATCATTCATCATAATATCATACATATTTAATCATATTTAATTTAACTCAAGCATTATCGGCATCTCATCATAGAGCTAACAAAAACATATGGTAGCAGCTTCTAAAACTGAATAATCATAATAGGCCTAAAAATAAATACAAACCTAAAAAAAACTAAATCTGCTGCATGTTGAACAGGATCAATCTTCTGACTGGAGGTTTCCTCATATTTAAGCTATTTCCCAGCTGAGGAAGGATTGCTCAAACAGGGGTGAACCAGGAAGAACCAAAGAGCACTGAATTTACAAAATTGTTGTAATTAGTGCAGTTAGTGTTCTGGATTCAAAATGGCAGGCAAATAAGCATTTCAATAACTGCTGACTATACCCTAATATAGAAAACCACCTCATTATTCCTTTCGACTTTCATTCAGTCCAGGCAGCCTTGTGGTCTTCTCTAGGAAGCAACACTATGGCTGTCCTTCAACTAAAGTATTTATCAGATTATCTTCTAATTAGGCAAGGCCAGTTTTTTCACACCATGTTCACTTGAAAATTGTGAATTTGACATTTACCCAATGTATTATTGTGGCATACTGTATATGACAATGTGGTATGAATATCTATCTACTGCATAACAGGAATGACCATTAAGTCTTGTTATGAAAGTCTGCTGTACAAGTTGGCTCTTTCCTTTCATACAAAAACTAGGGATGTCACCTTAATCCACCGGAATGATCAAAGTATGCGCTGCTAGTCAAATCATATACGTTATATTGTAAGATGTTTCTTTACGTTTGTTTACTTCTTGTTTGATATGCACATTATAATATAACATTCTGTATAAATGTAATATTTGATTTACTTACACGCTGTACAATTTTGACATCTAAACGAACTCCCAGTAAAGATGTTGACCACTGGAAGAACTTAGCCTTCTGCTTTCACACGTCTTCCTCACATTCAAATTTGGCGCGTTAACGTTACACGCAAGAACCAATGACGTGTGTGCGATATTCTTAAACTCCGCCTTCTTCTGCAAACTGTGTCTAATTGCGTTTTTTAAAGCAATAAATACACACATACTATATTGTTTAGAACGACAATAATGTTAGATTGTTTAATGTTCTCTAACATAAAATTAATATTATGAAATATTCATGAAAAATAAACAATTAACATATATATTTAAATTATGGAAATATACACTCTAAAAAATGCTGGGTTAAATATAACCCAGCGCTGGGTTAAAAAGGGACAAACCCAGCTATTGGGTTGTTTTGACCCAGCGGTTGGGTTGTTTTGACCCAGCTATTGGGTTGTTTTGACCCATGTTTTGAACCCAACCGCTGGGTCAAAACAACCCAATAGCTGGGTTTGTCCCTTTTTAACCTAGCGCTGGGTTATATTTAACCCAGCATTTTTTAGAGTGTAAGTTTAGCAATAACCACATACCAACATTTGGTAGCCTCTTTATAGATTTAATTAAGCGCTTAATTTGTAACCCTTTACTTGTAACTGTGTTATTATTTATTTATTTGTTTGTTTCTTTTGTTTCTTTAAAAACTGCAATAATAAATAATATTACTGCAAACTTTTATTATGTCATGGCTATTAAGTTAAAATCATTCCACAAACTGATGGGCTGCAGTTTAGAAATCCTTCATCAGGGTCAATCTGATTCACTGACAGCCACGGACTACAAATTTGGATCCCTTATTCAAAGAGCACCAGTATGAACTATGTTGTATGAATTGTGACTGTTAAGCACTTCCTTTCACCATTTGTTGAAAATGACTTTATTTTTAAGGGTTTCAAATGAAAAGTGCTACAAACCTAATGAAGCACACAGTGAAGTCGAGGGGCTATGCAAAATGCTGTCTAATTCAGGATTCTTCTGTTTATCATTTCCCTGAAAGCAACTGAAACAAAGGCAACTTTGTCCAGGAATAACACACTGAGATATAAATGATGCCAAAAGAGCATTCTGATACTATTACATCTAAAACAGATCCACTTGTACACCAATTTCTTTGGACTTTTGTCTCCAAGGCAACAGTGGGCTATCTCTCTAAAAAGATGAAGGTTTGTGTTGGCATGGTAACCACATAGTAATATCACTGCTTTTATGGAACCAGGCACCAAAAAATAATTTATAATATTAATAATAATCATTATTAATCTAATCTCTGTGTTTAGGAACCCGATAGAAAAGTCATTTAGCTGGAAAAGGTTTGGATCTTGTATTTTTGCAGCAGTGGGTTTTGCAGGGGTGGATGATTGTGTGGGACACCACATGCTGGACTTTGAAAGCACACAGAGTGTGTGGGTGCTGTTTCAATACTGCATGAAACCCCACAGGTTGTGTTCTGCACTGTCTCCTCTTTATCCGTTTGTGTATCAGAGAAAACATGCATTTATTCTGCATTCTCTTACAAAACCGGCCGCGACATTATACCATTTTAAAGACAGCGAGAGTATCATATGATAAGATCATATATGATACTTCTGATATATACTTGTATACTTCTGACATATGAATAGTGGGCATGTCAAGCAGTGTCCTGCAGGGTATAGTTAAGTACAACTAAAATTAAAACTAAAACTGAAACAAACAAACAAACAAAAAAATTATAATAAATAAATGTTAATTGAAATAAAAAAAAATTTTTTTTTAAACTTTTTATTTCAGCTTTTCCCAAGCGAACATTTAATTTTTTTATTTACTTCAACTTGATGTACTAAAATAACTAAAACTAAAACTGAAATAAAAATTAATTAAAAAAAATAAACAAATATGTAAAAAAAAAAAAAAAACTAAAAATGACAAAACACTGAAAATTTTACTAAAACTTTAATAAAAAATTATAATGAAAACAAATTAAAACTGATTATATATATATATATATGTAGATGTAGATATATATATATAAATTGATATAACATAAATATATGTAGATATATATATAAATTAAATATAAATTTAAATATAAAATAAATCATGCAAAATGGCTTGTATTATAAAGTTGAACCTTCTGAAGAGAATAAATAATATTTTTTAAGGTTAAGCACCTCTTTTCAAACAAAGTGTAATTCAAGGCATAGATTAAATATAAATTAAAAGCTTTTATTTAAAAAAAAAAAAAAAAGGTG